AAAGCATTTAATAATACAAAACAAATACTTATGAACTCACCAACCATTGTGTTGACACTTTTTCAAACCACTTGTATTCTCAGGAAATCAATAAACAGGTAACCAAGTGTTGTTGAGAATGGCATGCTAAGACGTCAAACATTTCCTATCTTGTCCATGTATTGTAATTGATTTATAAACATGTAAATCATAATGATGTAACTTTTCAATTATATATATATATATATATATATATATATATATATATATATATATATATATATATATATATTGGTTGTGTTTACTTGAATTACTATTGCAATTGTTGTTATGATATTATACATGAAGTCCTCCACCCCCGGACGTTTCCGCCATCCTCGGTTTGGGGGTGTGACAGATTGGTATCAGAGCACAGTTTATAGTGAATTAAGTGTATCAAACCACATAAGATATACAAACTATAAACACAATTGGGACTACTAGTCTCTGATTTGTGCATTTTCCAAATAAATATACCTTTAGAAAATAAATGTTTTTCTTAATTAAAGTATACCTACCAACATTCATACAAAGAACAGGGTCACAAGTACAGAACAAAAATATTACGAATGTTGGACAGCACAGGTGGGCTTAGAGACATATAGTCAAGTCTGGGAAGATGTAGCCTGATCAACTACATTATCTGGGGTTTGACTAGCATGTGCCTAAGTACGTTTGTGAAGTTTCAACAAATCTAAAAACTTTATTTCCATAATCAATTTACAAATAACTCACAAGTCCATATGCGTGTTTCTCATAGTTGACTTGTTCCTTGTTTGGTTGTGGACTTAGGGTAGACTCATTAGGATCAACAGTCTAATAAAATTTTAATTACACATAACTGGGGGCATGTCGAGTGAATCTTAGGAGTGGATCAGACATGGAACAAATCACAAGATTATAATCAAGTTATTCCTACTAAATTCATAAGTCTATTTATATAGACCTCTGGTTTAGAGTCGTCAGAGTAGTCGTGTCGGCAATCTAGAATATAGCTAAATACATAATACAAACTATAATACCCAAATTATACAAACTTTTCTGCATTAAAAAAATCAATAGACAAACACAATGAAACTAAAAAGGGTATCAATTTATCAAGAGAAAAACACATACAATGTAGATTAAAATCCACTAATTATAACAAAATGGCTAAAAGAAAAGGTAAGGACTAAGGATTTTTCAGTCCTCTCTTCTTATAAATAGCTTTGAAGCAAGCTTGCCTAAGCTTCTTTGTTCTTTCTGTCCAAAATGCAGATCCAGGTCCTTTAAGACCTCTTAGACCATAAAGTCATGAACTTTATGTGCTTGCATGCATGGTTGGGGGTCAAAACATGATTTTGGTCCTTTTAACAAACTTTAAGACCCACTAACACTTGCATGGTTGTGGCTTAACCGCCAAGGTCCGATTTTTATGACTCTTAGTGCCTCTAAGAGCCCAAAAGGACAGCTATTATGGTCTGAAATCATTAAGATGCAAAAAGCCTCAACAATGGAGTCCAAAAGTAACTTTAAACACCCCCATAAACAAATCTAAGAATATAATGGCCAAGGTTGGAACTTGATACCTCAAATAAGTCAGAGATGGTGCTAATCTCCTGGATCTACAAGCTCTTGGTGAATCCTTGCTCCTTCTTCAAGCTCCTTTCTCTTCCAAAGCACCAACACTACACCAAAATACTCTTAAATAGCTCCCAAATCGCAAGAACACACAAAAGTAGGCTAGGGTTTTCGTGGAGGCTGTATAAGGGTGAAGGGAGGCTGAACAAACAGGGGTAATGTTCTATATATAGGGAGTAAACCCTAAATTTTAGGGTTTAAGGAGCTGCACACGTACGTTGGGCGTACGTGCATGGCCTCTGCGGTTCACTCTCACGAGTATGCTGGGCGTACTTGGCAATGTACGCCCCGCGTACGAAGCTTCCCCAGCCCTCTAATAAATCCCAAAGGTCAAAGCCCAAACCAAACCATTCCATACTTCAATTAAGATGATCAATAATAATACCTGGAAAATCTCGGATGCTACAAGATATGTGTGGTATTTTGGGGAACTCACTAAGCTTCGTGCTTACCGTGTTATGTGTTTCAGGTACTTCTCAGGATCACGGGAAGGCGCCAACTTGATTGTACACACGAGATGGAGATATGTTTTGAGGATCCTGGATTGTGTTTTAAACAATTTATGAACATGCGTTTTTGATAAATTGTCATTTTGGAGAATTGTGAATTGTGCTTATGAGAATTATGTGATTTTTAAAAATGAAAAATTTGTTTGAAAATTTACGGTGTTACATAAAAGTTGTTTCGCTAAAGTAAGGAAGAGGAACTCATACTTCATTCCAAATCTAAAAGTTTAGATTGAGAAATTTTAATCATACTTAGTCATGAGTATATATGAATATCAAGTTGGAATGTTTCAACATTGGAAATTCTATATATGGTAATATTATAGCAAGAAACTAGTAAGTATCATGACTTTATGTAAGACGTTATGAATTGTATCCCATATGCTTCGGGTATAGGATCGATTGCATATGTTGTAATATTCGACCGTTCTGTCTATTCCAAATGCCTAGGGCATTAAGAGGGAAAAAGGACCAGAACCGGATATGACTAAGATAGTTAAACAACTGTCAAGGACGATCTAAAGTTCGCTAAGGATTGGTCGCTTCTGGGCAGTTGGAAGTATAGTAATGAATGGGCTATATTGACATTATTATGAATAGATAGGATTCTATTAGGAGTGAGTTGTCATATGGGAAATATGGAAAGGTTTCCATAATGGGAGTTGGATATTAAGAATCTATGTGTAGGTTAGAAACTTTTATGTAAGAAGGATGTTCAAAGGAATGTACTTTGAATGTGAGACTTCGTATCTATGTAATTGTCAGTGTAACAATTTCGAATGGAACACTTTGTAATATCATTGGCAAAATCTTTGTGACTTTGGTGCTATGACGTTACAAAAGGATCATTGCATAAAAGATTAGAATCTATACATTCTAATAGTGGAAGAATTTGGTATTCTTACACTTATGATAAGGATTTGGAATTGTGAAACGAGCATCATTGGAAATGTGTTAAATTGATCTATTTCACAAAGTAGGGACCATAGGTAAACATGGTGTGCATGCTTGGAGCATGGGATAACTATTGTTTTAATTCAAGTATTAAGTTGATTACTCGAAACATTATGCAATGAACAATGTGTAATCAATATGGTGATTAAATAATAAGTGTTTTATTTATACTCAAAAGTGTTGAGACCATATTGGATTTGATTATTCTTGTGTTTCACTTCGCATGTTTTGACTTCCGGAATAATAACATTATTCAAACATCCACAATCAATCATACTTTGGAAGTAGGTAATGAGGTAAGACTGTCATGAATCCGACTGTAGATTGTCTGAAGTGTTTAGACATAGCAAAAGTCTGCTGCAGTGTTCATAAGTACTCCTGAAATAAGATTTGAGTATTGGATTAAACTCACGCTCACTTGAATCACTTCATGGATTTTATCACGAGTGATTGTGAGACGATAATATCTTATATTCTTGAAACGGAGACATATAGTTGTTGTTTACGAGTCGGTTGCGCATTGATAATACGTAAACGCATCAGTAACTTGATGTTATAAAACGTATTGTTGTGTGTGATTTGATGCTAATGGACCATATATCATCAAAGGGTAATATGGTTTTTTTTAACTAACCCAAGGACCACCGGCGAAACAAATGCAAACCACAATAACCAACAATCCCATTTTTCTCCATATTTTTCCCATATATTTCTTGAAAAAACCAAGACAGTTGAATTGAAAAGTCTCCTAATTTACTGGAGCAAAAAAAGTCACATCACTGGATCAGTCATGCCTCAACTATATCATTTGACTTAATCCACACAATTCTTCTAGTCATGCCTTTTCCTCTTCACTTTATATATTTTCATATGCATTAATGTGGGATCAACACAATTCTAAAACCATGTAACATCAAACCGAAAGACCCCTTAACTATTAAAGGGGTTAATAGAATGAATCACACTTTTACCACTACACTATACCCGCTACAATGCAAATTATTATATATAAATGGACATTTTGTCGATGTGCTTTCTTATTTCATTACCTTTTTTTATTGAAATTCAAACATATCTATCTCAATCTTGTGGAATTTTTATCTTCAAACATTTGAAGGAGTAAGGAAGACTACTCTTGGAATTAGGATTATGGTGGGGTCATAAGAGATGGACATAGAGTTGCCACGTGTAATTGAACAAAGATCCCTTATAGGGATCAAAGATGCAAACTTAGCAGAAACAAAACTCTTTCACCATGATTTTCTCTAAATTCTTGATTCTTTTCAAGTCATCATATCAAAGGGGTTCTCTTAACTTAGATGGATGAATGGTAATAATCAAGAACCTGGACGTCTACGGTTTATCCTGCGAAAACATTTATCAATATATGTTAAGTTCAAATTCGATCATGTTTAGAGGGAAGGGACTCATTTAGCTACAGTCAAGCTACTTGGGTGTTATGTTGTAGTCTTTTGGTGAATGGACGTGTGAATTTGGGTAGGGACCAAATGTGTAATTTACTTTATTATTTATTATTGTTCAAAACAAAATTTCATCCCTACTATACCCCTATCGATTGTCACTGTCTAATCAATTCATCAGCCCCTAAAACATTATTATTGTATTTAAAACGCCCCCAAAAATCCACACAATTTTCTAACAAAACAGTTTGATTGTTGTTATTTTCTCTTGTCCTACTATATATGTATGTTGATAACACTGTTCCGATATCTTAGTGTTAAACTGAACTATTTAGTTAGTGTCAAATAATTTCAAATCTTGGAAATGTATAAATCTCTTAATGGTTTAGAATTAACTTTTCAGAGGCCATTCAAATGCTTTTGATTTTTTCGCATGCTATATCAATCACGTGTAGAGGTGACATTAGAATCGTTACTTTAGAAAATTATCAATGAAACAGCCATTTTGAATATAGAAAACTTTGCCATCGTAAAATGGAAAGGGTAAAATGGGCAAAAAGCCCATATGGTTGGTGGGTCGGTTGGTAATATCGCCCAACTCAGTGTCGTTTCTTTGACATTTACGACTATAAAATCATACCTGATTTCTTTTTCAAACCCGAAACCCTCCACCAACTCTGTCTTTCTGGTGAAGAAAACAGAGTGAGCGTCTTACTCATCTTCAAAGAGCAGAACAATTACAATTTACGTCTACATTTCTTATCTGAGTAATGGAATCTGATTATGGACTTCCTAGAGAGCTTTCTCATCTTCAAAAGAGTCGTTCGCTTTATCAGCCGGAGCTTCCTCCCTGCCTTCAGGTTTCTATTTTACACTACACCCCAATTCTCTTCGTTTTCCTTATTCTTATTACTTCTGTATATGTACTTCATGTAATGTATTTCTTATAACCTGATAATTTTCTGGATCGAATCAGCAGATCAAGGATTTGACGGTTTGTGTTTGCGGTTTTTGATTGTTTGATTATTCGTCGCTTCCATGAAACATGTACAAATCATCTGCAAATGATAATTAAATACATATCAAACGCTTTTTGTGATATATGCATTGTTTTTTCCGTCCTGGCGTTTTTGTGATTATGCATTGTTAACTGCATCATTATTCTGGTGGCCTTGTCACCATGATTGTGACAGGTTTATGCGGTTGAAATAGGTTTCCTGTTTTTGCCCTAGTGGAAATTTTCGACTTTTAAAGAATAACTTACAAAAAATGAGATTACTTAATTAGCATCCTTATTACGTGAATAAGTAAGTATCATAGAAGATAGACCTTACAAACCATTGTCATGGACTTGTATCCAGGGAACTACTGTGCGATTAGAATTTGGTGATGCAACTACTGTGGCAGATTCATCTGGTGGCCACACTATCAGTCAATCGTTTCCTCACACATATGGTCAGCGTTTGGCTCATTTTCTTAGGGCAACAGCCAAAGTCCCTGGTGCTCGGATTATTAGCACACATCCTGCACTGAGGTAATTATGTGTGTTTATGTGTAGAAATATCTAAATTCACAGAAAAAAAAAATCATACCTTTACAAACTTTTGATTTCAGGGTTGGACTGGTTTTCTGTGGTAGACAATCTCCTGGAGGGCACAATGTTGTTTGGGGCCTTCATGAAGCTCTTAAAATTCACAACCCTAAAAGTATTTTGTTAGGATTTCTTGGTAAGTATTTTTCTTAATATAATTCTTCTTTTTAAGTTGACAATTAGCATGATATTTGTTTAAAGGAATTCTATTGTGCATATGACCAGGTGGTTCTGAAGGTTTATTTGCTCAAAAAACTCTTGAGATCACAGATGATGTTCTTGCAACCTATAAAAATCAAGGTAATTTTATAGCAAACACAATTTTGGTAAATAAATAGTGACTGTTTTACCCTTTTGAAGGTGGTTATGATCTTCTGGGGACGCACAAAGGATCAAATAAGAACAACAGAACAAGTCAATTCTGCAATGGCTGCATGTAATGCTTTAAAGTTGGATGGCCTTATCATTGTTGGAGGTAATGTTATAAAAAATAGAAAAATAATGATTGAAATTAAACTTTTTATTTGTTTATTAATGAACCTGATTTATTTTATTTAAAGGGGTGACATCAAACACGGATGCTGCTCAGCTTGCTGAGACTTTTGCTGAAGAAAAATGCTCCACAAAGGTAAAAGTTGTGTTATTTTTTACATAATAATAATTTACTGTAGAGGAAATTATATTTTTGGTCTGTGGGTATAATTGATTTTTGCAATTTTGGTCCTAATAAGTTATCCCCTGCAATTTTGGTCCTTGTTTGAGGTTTTTGACTTTTTGTCACATTTTTGTTCCATGTTCCAGATAAAATGACTACGTTTGGTCCTGAGCATAACTAATGTTTACAGTTTTGGTCCAAAAATACAATCATATCGCTGGGAAGAGGGACCAAAATCGTTACAAAAGGTCAAATAAGGACCAAAGTTGCAAAGGAAATCCTTTTAGACCAAATTTGCAAAAATTGGATAACTCGGGGGACTAGAAATGTAATTTACTCTATACGTATATGGTATTGTTGATACTGTTTTCAATATTTTAGGTTGTTGGGGTACCTGTTACTTTGAATGGAGATCTTAAGAACCAATTTGTTGAAGCAAATGTTGGTTTTGATACAATTTGCAAGGTGTGAATTTTCATAATCTCAAAACTTCAACATTAATATTTCAATTGATCATCTTTTGAAAGTGATTATAATGAACATATTTGAATTTTAATCCAGGTTAACTCCCAGCTAATCAGCAATGTCTGCACAGATGCACTTTCAGCAGAGAAGGTAATTCAAAATTCAAAAATAATTAATAAAAGCAAAACATATTTTGGTAATTTTGTTTATAGTGAAAATTGAATTTCAGTTTTTCATCCCTTTCAGTACTACTATTTTATTCGACTCATGGGTAGGAAGGCATCTCATGTGGCCTTGGAATGCACCCTACAGTCACACCCAAACATGGTATGATTTATTTTCTCATTCTGATATACTAGTAATATTTTTGTTCCCAAATTAACCTTGTGGAGCTTTTTGTAGGTTATTCTTGCTGAAGAGGTTGCTGCTTCAAAACTTACTATATTTGACTTAACAAAACAGATTTGTGATGCAGTCCAAGCCAGGGCAGAAGAAGGTGCGTTTTGGTCATTTTGTTGGTGATATCATAATGGTGATTAAAAAATTACTAACATTATCTTTATTCTTTAAACTTTATTTAATGAGCCAGAGAAGTACCATGGTGTTATCCTACTTCCAGAAGGTCTTATAGAAAGCATACCTGAAATTTATGCCCTTTTGCAGGTAACTAACTGTCCACTCCATATATTGATTGATTCTAAAGTTTCAACTTTTTTATGACAAATTAACATACTTTACTCCCATTCCAGGAAATCCATATTCTTTTAAGACAAGGTGTTTCTGTTGATAAAATATCAATGCAACTCTCACCTTGGGCATCTGCTTTATTTGATTTTTTACCACCATTTATTAGAAAACAGGTCTGTTTTATATATATATATATATATATATATATATATATATATATATATATATATATATATATATATATATATATATATGGTAGCAGTCACATAAAATATAAAATACCTTCTCAATGTGCAGCTTCTCCTCCATCCAGAATCTGATGACTCGGCACAGTTGTCTCAAATTGAAACAGAGAAGCTTCTTGCTGAACTCGTGGAGGCAGAAATGAACAAACGCCAGGTACGATATCAACCCTACAACATTGGTATATAGAGTTAATTACATTTTTCGTCCCTGATCGATTGTAGCTGATATTTTCAATTTTGGTCCCAAAAACTTTTTTTTTTTTTTTTTGCTTCTTATTTGAGGTTTTTGTAACATTTTATTATGTTCCAAGTAAAATGACTATTTGGGGATGAAAATTGCAAAAATCATCTATGTTGAGGGATCCAAGATGGCAAGATAGTCATTTTGCTTGGAACAAGGACCAAAATGCCACAAGAGCCTCAAATAAGGACCAAAACTGAAGAAGGAAACTTTTTGAGGCCAAAATTGAAAAAATCAGCTATACTAGGATCAAAAATTAGCTGATTTTTTGTGATTTTATTCCCACTCCCAAAAAGTTTTCTATTGCAATTATGGTCCTTATTTGAGGTTTTAGTAAATTTTTTGGGGAAATGACTATATTTTGAGGACCAAAATTGCTCAAATCAAGGGACCAAAACTAGTCATTTTACAAGGAGCATGGACCAATAATGTTACGAGAATAAAATTGCAAAATTAAGAGTATACTAAGGGCCAACAATTTAATTTACTTTATTAATTATATGTGAATGTTAATAATAATAATAATAATAATAATAATAATAATAATAATAATACAGAAAGAAGGTTCATACAAGGGGAAGAAATTCAATGGTATCTGCCATTTTTTTGGGTATCAAGCTCGAGGCTCTTTACCATCAAAATTTGATTGTGATTATGCCTACGTAAGTTTCTTTCCATTTTTATCCATCAAATTAGATATAAATTTTTAATATTTTGTAGCCTTTACCAAACCACGGAGCAATGATGATGTAGGTGTTAGGACATATCTGTTACCATATTCTTGCAGCTGGTCTGAATGGTTATATGGCGACTGTAACTAACTTGAAGAATCCTTGTAACAAGTGGCGCTGTGGTGCTGCTCCTATAACCGTAAGTCTCACAATTTTTTTTTCAAAAAAAAAAAAGTCAAATATCTATCTAGATTTGACCATTGACTTTTTTTTTTTGGAAATTTGTAGGCTATGTTCACCGTAAAGAATGATGTTGGTGGTTCACGCGCAATGACAATTGGAAAACCGCTTCTTCATCCTGCTATTGTGGATTTGAGAGGCAAAGTATACGGGTATGTCTGTCATCTCATCATACCAAACACACTTATTTTTCTTTTCTAAGGAGTTAATTATTTCCATTTTTATCCCATACAACGTTTTTTTTTTTTAAATCACAAAAATGATCAAAATAGGGGTAACTATTTAACAAAATGGTTATCTTTTTTCACATTTTACACAAATCACCACATATTTTCACAATGGGACCAATGCAAAACCACTTTTTGGTCCCTGTGCTTTACAAAAACTCGAAACTTCAATCCAAATATCGCGACAAAGTTTTATTTTGGACTGAACTTGCAATTTTGTGTAAAGCGTTAGGACCAAATTTGTAATTTACTAACAAAATCTATAAAAAAATCATGTATTTTAGAATATATGATTTTTTAATTAAAAAAAAATATATTTTTTTTTTTGCTGTGAGGACGTTCAGAAAGTGAATTTTGCAGCAAAAAGTTATTTGGCAATGAAGATATGGTCATTTGTGTAAAAAGAAAAAAAGATAGACCTTTTTATTTGAATAGATTCCTCCCATTTTGGATATTTTTTGTGATGTTCTCATGTTCTTTCAGTCAAGTTATACTAAAAATGAGATTTATTGGTGCAGGATGCTGAGAGAAAACGCAAGAAAATTATTGTTGGATGATATTTACAGAAACCCGGGACCACTTCAATTTGATGGGCCGGGTTGCTGATTCACGGGTCGTGAGTTTGTATGTTGAGGATCTTGATTATATGGGTCGTATTAAAGAACTAAATGAATATCTTGAAAAGGTCTCATTCTTATCTTAACAATAAAATAAATTTATGTTATTTAAGGTTTTAAGTTTTTAATTTTTTGTGTTTCGGTAGGTACGAGGTATTGTGAAACCGGGTTGTTCTCAGGATGTTTTGAAAGCGGCTTTGAGCGCCATGTCATCAGTCACAAATGTTCTGTCCATCATGTCCTCACCTACTAACACAAGTGTTTAGATTAGTAGTTTCTTTTAATAACCTCAGGAAGACGTGGAATGATATTCTAATGCTTCACTCTTGTTATTTTTTTTAATGATAAATTAACAAAATTGTGTGAGGATTGAGTTAGATTGCTTCCATAGCACATATGTTTTGAAGATCTTCCTCCGATCAAAGTACCAAACCCTACTATTGTGTTTCAAGCGACATTGTGTCCTATTTCTTGTATCATATTGCTTCCAAAAACCTACCAATTATTATTATATATATAAAGATGCCCTAACAATGCTATATACAAAAACACAAAAAGAAATAAACAATGACGATTATTAACTTAAATACATAATAATTTCCACTAATATCAAAATGAATATCATACCGAATAATCGTACCAGTTATTTTGATTTTGCATCATTAGTCATTCATCACATACTAAAAAGTAACAAAATAAAATGAAATTATACAACTAAAGGTAAAGATTGACAATATATATATATATATATATATATATATAGAGAGAGAGAGAGAGAGAGTTAGGTTCAAATGTTTCCAACAAGTATTGTGTGCATGGATGCACCAATCACAATTTAGCAAATTATTAATTATTTTATTAAATATGTAAGGGTAATTATGTAATCTTTCATTTTAATTTTTTATTTAGTCTTATTGTTATCCCTTTATATAAGGCAATGATTTATTAGGGGTGTGTATGGGGTGGTTTGGTTCGGTTATTGGTCAAAACCGAACCATAACCATTATGATTGGTTAATTCTTTTTGGTAGCCATTGGGTATGGTTAATATTGATGGGTTTTGAGCACTACAACATTCCTATGGTGTACATGCAAACCCTAAAGCTTTGGATCTAGTTTGTCTAATGAACATGCAATAATCATCCAAAACCATAAACCCTAGATCTAGCATGTGATAATCAAATAACATATGAATTAGGGTTTAGATCTTACCTTGATTGTTATGTAGCAATAACAATCTCAATTCCTTCTTGTAATTGGATTCTGAAAGCTTAGTGTCACAAGTGTCACACCTCTAATGGAGTCACAAACACCATAAGCAATAAGGATGAAGAAGGAGGAGAGAGAAGACACCAAAAACGTCTAGAAACCCTAAGGAATCAGTTAGCCACGTTTTTGGTGCCCTAGGGGTCCTTAAATATGCGTGGCTATTAGGGTTTTGAACTAGGAAACCCTAATCTGACTGCTTAGGCCCTAAACAGCCCATGGACTCCTCCTTTAGAGGCCTTAGACGAATTCTAATGGGTTTCCCCATAGATTTCGTCCACTCCATCCTCTATGGAGTCCATTAGCCCAATATCCAACTATCACACAATTGACAGTTCTAGTCCCCTTTATTTAATTAATGTCTTTTAGCCACAAAATTAATTCTGATTAATTCTTGACTAATATTAATTAAACAATATGATTTCTCTTTTAATATATTATTCATATAATATATTAATAAACCATAATTAATCTCTTTCTCCACAAATCATCCTATCAAGTTGCTTTGGTGAAGGCAACCCACAAGGACCATGCTCGCAATCGGGTCAAGTACATACCAAAATAGTTATGGGCTTAGACACTAATCCAACAGTCTCCCACTTGGATAAGTCTAATAACTATTCTGTGTATTACTTCAGATCCTGATCAGCAATCGTAGCTTTCAAAAGCCGTTGTCAACTCTGATCTTATCAGATACGCGTCCTTTAGATAAGGGATCATATATTCCTCCATTCTAGATATCGTATAGACGTGAGACATGGATTAAAATCATTCTCTCAGTCTATGTGTTGTTTCCCGATTTCTGATTTATGACGACTGACCAATTGAACAAATCAAATCAGTCATGGCCCAACCGAGCACTTTATGTTTGTCATACTAAATCATCGAGGGGCCCACAGATATCGCTTTTATCCTACATTGGGTAATAGGAATGGATAAACTTCGACTCAATGCTCGCTTGTACTTACTCACCGAATCACACACAACAATACGTTTTATAACACCAAGTTACTGGCGCGTTTACATATTATCAATGTGCAACCGACTAGCAAGATACAACTCACACATCTCGGTTTCAAGAATATAAGATATTATCGTCTCACCAATCACTTGTGATAAAATCCATGAAGTGATCCAAGTGAGTGTGGGCTTAATCCAATGCTCAAATCATATTCATAAGCACTCATGAACGTTGTAGCAAACTTTTGCTATGTCTAATACACTTAAACAATCTACACACCAATTCATGACAATCTTCTTTCATACCTACTCCCAAAGTATGAGCGACTGTGGAACGTTCAAATAATTCGATTATTCTCAAATAACTCAATTATTTAGGAAGTCAAAACATGCAAAATGAAACACAATAATAATCGAATCCAATATGGTCCCAACCTTTTGAGTATAAATAAAACTCATTTTATTCAATCACCATATTGATTACATATTATTCATTGTATAATGTTTCGGGAAATCAACTTTTACTTGAATTAACAACAATTGTCTCATGCTCTTAGCATGCACACTTTGTTTACTTATGGTCCTTACTCTGTGAAATAGTGTAATTGAATAACATTTTCAATCACACTCATTTCACAATTCCCAATCCTTACCACAAGTGTAAGAATACCAAATTCTTGCCACTTATAGAATATGTTAGATTCTAACACTTTATGCAACGGTCCTTTCGTAATGTCAAGGCACAAAAGTCACCAAGACTCGGCCAATGAAATTACAAAATGCTCTATTGGAGATTGTTACAAGACAATTCCATAGACATGAAGTCTCACATTCAAAGTACATTCCTTTGAACATCCTTCTTGCATAAAAGTTTCTAATCTAGACATAAACTCTTAACGTCCAACTCCCAATATGGAAACATTTCTATATTTTCCATATGACAACTCATTTTAAATAGAATCTTATCTATTTATAATAATTTCAGTATGATCCATCCATGAATATACTTCTAACTGTCCACAAGTGACTAATCCTTGGCGAACCTTAGATTATCCTTGACAGTTGTTTAACTAATTCAGTCAAATCCGATTATAGTCCTCTTTCCCTCTTAATGCCCTAGGCATTTGGAAAATTTAGAACGTCTGAATATTACAACGACATGATACTTTACCAGTCTTTTGCTATAATATTTCTATTTCTATTTGCCATGTTCTCACAATTCGAACTATGAAGAGGGATGTCGTAATCATATTCGAGTGTGAGAACACAACAAATATTTCCATATATAGAATTCTCTTACGTTGAATCCTTCAACATAACATTCATATATCTTTTTGACTAAATTTGATTAAAATTTCTCGATCTAAACCTTTAGATTTGAAACGAAGTATAATATTCTCTCCTTTAATTATAGCAAAACAACTTTTCAACCTATGCAACTTTGCAAAGTGAAACTTTTGTTTTCTATAATTAATATTGCTAACTTGCAATAATAATCATGCTCCCACTAACATGATGATTATATCCATACCAACATAACATTTATGCTCCCACTAGCTTTGACACGTATTTAGAAAACAGTTGGAATTTTTAGAAACCAATACTTATTGACTTCCAAAGCTCATATTTCTAATACGATATGCTTCGATAAGCCTTTATCTAAGCTTCTCAAATTCACACACCTTTCCTTAGATAGCTCACATGTGTGTCTAAACTAATTCAGAACTTATATTACTAAGTCCAAAATGTTCAGACTAACTGCCAAATCTCACAATTCGAACTATGAAGAGGGATTCCGTAATCATAATCGAATTTGAGAATGCAATTTACATAATCGCTATCTCCTTAAAATCTCTCTTAGTGAAAGCGTTTCCTCACAATCATTTTCATGAATGAGAGAAACCTTATGACACTTAGATTTTATGGTGCATGTGTTCCTATCCATGCAAATTTGTCATAAACATAATTGTAAGATAATGTTTGTGACAAATTCAACCTCTTATGGACAGAACTTGTTCATTCTTAATTTCTTGCCATCAAGGGTCCCACCATTGCTTCCAAGTTATTTAGCAGCTCGCCTATGCCAGTCAATGTACTTTCATTGATCAAGGTGTTTGCCCTTATGCATTCAATTGAGAACTCGTAGAACTCATATGCATAATCACTCAACTGGATTGGCACAAAAATAAAATTTTGTCAACACGATGGGTTACAATCCTCAAGTTGTGTGCTAGTGTTTAATAGGTTTACTTCTTGATTTGTTCTTGAAACTTTTCAAGATCTTTAGACTCCCACTGACCTCTTGACATATAAGATTCTCTTATCAAGAAACATTTCTTGACAAAACAAATATTCTAGAGTTAGTGTGTGTCTTTATCAAGACAAACCTACACACAATTTGGTATTAGCTGGTCTTTGTCTTATCCAAGACATCACAACCTACCTGTAACACCCCAAGTTCAGAAGCAAGAGTTCAGGGATGTAAAGTGTTATTAGAAGGATGGACTCGGCGAGTTGGAGCTATGACTCGTCGAGTCGGAGCGTGTGAAGAGCACGTGATAAGTGGCCTGACTCACCGAGTCGGCGGACGGACTCGACGAGTCAGTGTTGGAAGAGGAAAACCCTAATCTTAGGGTTTGCACCTTATTTAAAGGACTTAATGTCCTCCCCTCAGCCCCTTACTACCCTTTGAGATCCAGAAACCTTAAAAGCGTGAGTGAGAGTCGTTGGAAGCAATTTGGAGCTTAGATAAGTGATTTTGTAAAGAGATCTTGAAGATCAAGGAGCTTGGATCAAGGAGATTTATGGAGATTCGGCTTATTCTTCAGTGGGAGGTCGTTTTAGAGGTAATGAATCGTTATCCTTGGCCTTCTCCTTTCTAGATCCATCTTTCATGGAGTTTTAGGGTTTGTTTGGAGTTAATATGATGAGATCTTGGTACATGAGTTAGATCTGTAGCTGAAACTCCAGATATGAGTTCTATTTGGATCAAATATGCAGAAAGCCCTTCTAATTGCTATGCAAAAGCCATTCCCCATGAGTTAAGTTCCTTTTTAGCTTGGTTTTTGGAATTATGGGACAAGAAGCACGTAAAGGTAGCAACTTTATGTTGCTAAGGCACTCTAGGGACCCAAATCTATTGTTTGGAGCAAAGGAGTAGATATGTATCTT